CTTTTACGGAAAAGTAGTAATTTTATTGGCTATACAGTTCTCGATCCGAGAACTTTGATCGATTTCTAGTATTGTGGACACAAGCCTTTACATCCTCTTTGCATCTTGATACAGCTTCACTTGAATTGAATGGATAATAATATGGTAGTGTATTCGCTCGAGCAACTTTCCACGATTTGTCATAGTGTGCATAAAAATAAAAGTACTGATGAATCAGTTTATATATTTATCACGCGGCTGCAATCTATATTAAAACAGAAATCATCGTTTGTTATTAGTTTGGGTGTATGTACAAGCAACAGACTGGCCACAACCACTACGCCAGCATTTCCACGGAATGTTCCGAGTCGCAGTACGTTCCATTCTGGCCAAAATAGAGCACAGCGAAATCACACTCAGGTGAGTACTTAATATAAATGATATAATTATAGAAGAAAAATTTAACTTGATAAATATATTTTTTTTAGCAATTATTAACATGTTATATTTATTTTATTAGCAATTAATATAAATGTATTTGACACACAGGGTCACACACAAACGCAGGACACAAATGCAATTAGCCCTCTAGCAAGGCCGTCCTTCTTCTCGAAATTATCTTCGAAGTTCTCCAAACGGTAAGTTCTATGACTGATTACATCTAAATAATCTTTAACGATACTAGTATTTGACAGCATGCATAATGATTTGTATGATTATAATATTACCACTGTACATTTATGAATATTTTTTAACCGATAGTATACATATTTTATAATTTAAATCAATTATTCTATGCAAGACAAACAATTAGATCAGATCTTATAAGTAAATTATTTTCTAATTGGCATTGACGTAAATTTCTTTGAAAATTTATAGATAATCAACTCGTAAAGATACGGTGAAAGTATTAGTTTAGAAGAGAAATGTGTGTATTAAAGTCTTTATCACAAAGTTAGCAGTTACCAAAAATATAATGAGAAATGTGTATATCAAAGTCTTTATCAAAGTTAGCAGTTACCAAAAATATTATAATTGTTGCATGTATTATCTTAACTGAATCTCTTTACCCACGCAAAGAAGGTCCATGAAAATCAAATTAATATTTTATAATATAAAACATTGTTATATATTTTATTTCTTCCATTCTCTCTATTTTATTTGTGATTATACATTCATATTTGTTGATTTATTTCACGATGTATACATATATATATATACACACATATATACATACACACACACTATATATATATATATATATA